ACTTTTGCAACCCAATTCTTTTGTCCCCTACTTCTTAATTAAATCACTAATCTCTATTCTAATTTTGCATTAGTCAAATGATTCAAATCATGAATGCACACTTGCTCACACCCCCTTTGTGGACTATGGACGGTGCATATATACTTGTTCAATAAGAATACCAATCAACAAAAAGCAGTTAAGAAAATCCCAAACAATGTCTTTTTTATTTTTCCAATATGTCATATGCTTTTGATAATAATAATAATAAAATAAACATTATAAAGAGGGCTAATAGCTTGATTTGGCCCAACCCATTACAGGCCTATCTCAAGGTAATTACTTTTTCTACCTCTTTTTTTATTAATCACAACACTCTTTTTTTATTTTTTGAAAATAAGATTTTAAAAAATATTTTTATTTTTAAAATTTAATTTCTAAAAAATGGTGCGAAAAGCAACCACCTAACTCACGTGAAAGTTTTAAATATGAAATTGTGTTAGATTAGATTAAATTAAGTTCAAATCCAAACTTTTAGAACCGAACTCACATTATAAATGAAATTATTTATCTTTTGGTAGGATACCAATCAAAGATTGAGATTTTTTGCTAGGGATTATAAATTTATATTTTAGTATGACATCGTAAAAAAGTTTAAAATTTATTAGTATCATCACAAGTTAAATGACTCAATTTTCAATGATACTATGGTCAAGTCCACATTTTTAATCACTAAGTGTATGTTTAATTTAAGTTATTTTTAAAATAACCATTCTTTTGCTTAAGTTTTACAATAAAAAGTAATTATTTCCTAAAAATAATTTATTTTCAAACAAACACTCATTTTGAGTCCAAATTCCAAGAAGAAAATAAATCTATATATTTATTTCTCCGTATACTTCACAAATAATACTTCTCATCGCCATGTGCTTTTTTTATATTGACTCGGTCTCATTTTTTATGTCTACAATTTTTTCTCTTATAGAATCAAATGAGATCTAATCTTTCTTGTATAAATTAGTACGTCCTTAACTTAAAAGAAACTCTAAGATCGAATCTTTGCCAAATATATAAAGCATTTAATCCATTCGAACATAATTAGTTAGCTGATTTGCTTCAATGGCTGAGAACTAGAAAACGGCAATAAGTTCTTAAATAATTAATGGCAAACGATCGAATATATTCTCTGTTAATGATCAAAATGGTTGAATTAGATAATGGAAGTGTTCATTTTGTCACAAACGGGTATATGTATATATGTTGTAGCTATGTGCTAAATCAGATTGTGGGTGGACGCAAGTTCACAACGATTAATTAATATTGCATGAAAGAAACTTAAATATTTCATTACTAGCAACAATTAAGACGAAAATATAATTCATATTCAATTCAAATGAAACTGACAAGAATAGTTTACAATGAGTTATTTCTTTCAAGCATTTGCTCTCAAGGATATTACCACCATGTCTATTTCAATCAAACAAGCATCTTCACGATTCAAGAGAACCATAGCAAGGAAACCTCTTAATTTGTATAAAATTATGAAACTTAAACTCTTTGAAGTCTTAAAAAAACTATTCTAAACATTCCCCCATTTATTATGGGTCACAACTTTAAGAGTCATAGTGCACTTGAAATCTAAGAATTGGTTTTGTACTTGCTTCCTTGCAAACTCAAAATCCATATACATGCATAATTGGAATACCAACCTTCTTCTGCCGTATGAAAGTTTTTCCACCTTTAAAATTGGGTATTGGGTATGTGTCATTGTCAAACTTAAATATAAGTGACAAGGGGGAGTATCAATATGAAACTCCTAATTGTAAGTCGCCATCATGCATGAACCATAACCATGATTCCTCTAAGCAATTTAATAAATATATCCTGTGAGGAAGAAATCTTAACTTGGGCTGCGCCTGCTCGTCTTAGAATTGTCTCCATTTGATTCTACAATGTTCTCATTAAGTGCGTATTTGAAAACATGTTAAAAAGCTTATAAAAGTTAATCTAACAGTATTAAAGTAAATGTAGATCTACCTTCATTTTGACATGAAACCATACATGTTATAAATCCATATGGGAATTGAAAGCCCATTTTAATTATGAATCACAATTACATTAGAACTCGCCTGGTTAAGGGAGAAAAAACAAGCACATTCTACCTTATGTATCGGAAAAAACTAGTTGACATGTGTAAGGTTTATGTTCCGTGCTTGAAATGCACGTCTTGTTCAATTTGTCATAGCCAAAAGCGAAAAACTTATAGAAAAAAAAAAGATACAATATATTATATATTTTTTATAAAATAAAAAGTAACTTATAAATATTTGGTCTGTTTGGATAAACTTATAAAGAAATTTTTATAAGAGAACAGATAGTATAAAAATAAATAAAATGTTTCTCATCAATTATAAATAAATTATCTTTTTAATTTTAGAGAAGTTAAACAAGATATTTTTTAAAAATAAAAAATATATAAATTAATTTTGACTTATAAAAAAGTTTGATTAATTTTACTACTTAATTTTTAACTCCTACAAGTACTTATCAAAGAATTTATCCAAATTAAGCCATTATCCTTTTTAAGAGGTCTATCATTTAGCTTTTAAATATTAAATTACATAATCTAATTTCAACTTATAAATAAAAATTAATTCATTATACTTTTATTCTTTTATTTTTTTCTTTTCAATAAATTATTCATTGCATACGTTGGCTGCAAGGGACTTGTCCTTGGTGTAGCCCAAAGCTTCTTCATATTTCACTATGAAGAGATTCTGATCTATTTTTGTGATCTCAGACAAATAAACATATATTTGAATAAACTGAACATGAGAAAAGGTTGATCCATTGACATATTATTTGGATATAGGAGATTACTTAGCTTACTGCAGAACGTTTATCATAATAACATTCTAAAGGGACATAAAATCCAAGATTTGATATGTCTACATGTGAATTCTTATTTTAAAAAAAATCAATTGATCTAGTTTTGTTCCAATAGGTTCAAGGGAGTTCAATTTAATTTCGTTTGCTAACAAGTCTATTACCTCGTTCACGTAGTGGTTATATAGAATTCAAATGCAGGTGATGCACAATCAATGTACTAATGATGTGTAGCCTAATGTGGCTTAACCATAGAAGATTCAGACTTATGGAATGAGAAGCATGACTTTTGACTATAAACTCTTGCAACGAGCATATGAAGAGCGTTGGGTATATAGGTGTAGATGTTTAAATAAGCATCATATTTGATATCCAGCCCACTAATGTATTGGGTCATTAGCAATTTAAGAAAGTTTTTACATTTTATGCCATCTTTTTTTTTTAAACAGACCACCTTTCTTTTATTTTCTGAAAATAAAATTGTTGAAATGGATTATTACACCTCGAAAATTAAATTCTGTGAATCACTTCCAAAATTTAAATTTTGAAAGTTGGTGTGAAAAAGTTTCCCTAAGAAAAATGTCTTTGAGTTTTAATCCTTTAGAATGATCAGAACGTCAATTATTAATAAGAAAATCATCTATTGATATTGCATATTCATACATGAAAATGCAGATTAATGAGCTAGTTTATTTGCAACAATTATGAATTCAGACTTGGGCATTAATCCAACGGATGGATTTGAAAGGAGCCGGTGACAACAATATAGTCAATGTAAAGTCTTAGGTTGGCACTATTTGATTGGCTCATTAAATGAGCTTTTCATAAGGCAATGTGTCAATAGTAGCACACGAAGGATTTCTACCGAAACAAATAGGTGAGAAAAGGGAAAGGATTTTGCCAACAATTGATACTGTTCTTATAAACTAGGCCCTAAGGAGTTGTGTCGTTGATAGTGCTTACCAGTAGAAGCTTCAAGTGTCAAGAAGTTGTGGTCAACAATCATTGAAGGAATAGACGCATCATAATTCAAGTTTCAAAGGACGCGGTAGTTGTTTAAGATGTCACAGTTTAGAATTTAAATTTAATTCTAGTGCAGAGTTACTTAGGATAGATTGCAGTAGATTTGAACCCTTCTATGCCTACAAATATTAGCTCATTGTTATAAACAAGGTTGATGACTTCGAAAAACACCTAAAATATGCATTTAGAACAAATATTTAAGTTCGACAAAAAAAACAAAAACAAGTAATTAAGGCTTCATTCGAATTCTACCATCCTCTTTACTTGTAATTTATTTCCAAACTTAATGTAAGTTATTTTCCACTTCATGTTTTATTATTAACTTCCTTTTATTAATCTGTTTGGTTCCTTTCATTTTAAGTTCTGCATAGCAAAATCTAAAGCTATAAGATTTCATTTGCTCGTTTCTTTTCACTTTGTGCATTTAAATGCAGAAATTATAGTCCTAGTTTTATATGTTATTTTCTTTGAATTTAATTTCATTTGTTTTTTAAGTCCGCATCTTTTTCTTTCGCTGGGGTAGTGTTTTAGTTTTTGGTCAATCATTAGTGTAGGGTTAACAGAAACTATTCAGCCTCATTCAGTTTTTGGGCTCCATTAAACGAAGCCAGCTCAATTTCAGCACAAAAATAATCTAGGCTTGAAAAAATCATACCGATCAAAACCAAATTATAAAAAATCCAGATGATTTGCGCTTTTTTAACCTGAAATTAATTAAAACATAAGGTTTAAAATTCAAACCATATATTTTAACAAGATAAATCAGGCTAATCCAGTGACTCTTTGCCGGTTCTAATTACCTCAATCAAGTCTCGTGTTATCCATTAATTGATGGATGAGAATAAGTTATATTACTTTGTACTATAATTTTGTGGAAATCAAGATTACAAAAGTGACGTAGGGGCATCGCACAAGTATCAATTACGGCTACGAACACGACACGAAAACATGAAGTTTGGAATATCATTGCATCAGCACCATGGATTACCACCACTAACTATTGGAGCTACAAACCATAACAAGTTTTACCCGTCCTCTCCATCTAGTCCTCTGCTAATTGCTCTCCTCAGTACTAATTTCATCATTCAATGAGTAATGTTTATTTGGTGCAATATAAGTGTTAACCTAATTTTCATTAATAGATAAATAGAAAGGGTGAGAAGATATTAACACATATTTGAAAGAAGGCAGGGGAGGGGAGAGCATTCGACATTACAAGACATGGGAGTCCCATTTTTGTCCTTTTTTTAATACAAAAAGCATGGAACTGGCTCTCTAGGACATCATAAGCAGGTGTGTTCATTACTATGCATGGCATGCAGTGCCAGGTACTACAAAAAAACTGTCCCAGATGCACTGGAATGATGTTGGTTTGGTTTACCATATCGAATGCTTTACGCCAAGGCCATTGCACGTCAATATAAGGCCCTTGTAACGGTTGAGATAATCCTACAACAAATGAAAAATGAGTATGTCAAATTAAACAGAAGAATTTTTTATTTTTTATTTTGTAAATAAAACATTCCTTCCAAATACACTTCCTGCAGACGAAGACAAATATGGCTTACAATGATATTGTAATCATATACGTAATGCATCCCATTTTTGTCGTATTCCCTCCTTTTGACCGGATCACTCAAAACTGTTCAATAAAGCCAAAGAGATGTTAGATTATAGAAACTCGACAGAAGTTTGTTCTGTCTTATCTATTAAGAGAAAATAACTAGAGCAGGCAAAGAACAGAGAAGGGGAATATATGATCTGCAAAATATTCAGATCTCAATAGATTTAAATAAAATTTCCAACAGTACATGTGCACATCTGGGGGTACTAAACTACAATTGTAATATCATATTGAACCGCTAATCTAATCCCTTTCAATAGCTGATGTCTCAACCACAATCTATCTTCTCAGAGCATTAATGGACCAGCTTCACCATCGGTTACAGCCTACTAGACTATAAGCATTGACCAGGTCGGTAGTGGAGCAAACAAGGATGGAGAAGGGGTAAGGCTCCCATCTCCTAATAGTGTCAAAATCAGAAATTCCACCAACCATGTAGTCTATAATTTCTTATTCCATCTAAGCTCTAACAGTCATCCCTGATGACAAGCATCACATTAACAAGCCAAAAAAATTCATGCACATCATATAAAAATTAAAAAGGGCAGCCTTGCTTGAGGCTCCCATCAAATAGGGTCTATGAGACTAGACGTATGCAACCTTACCCCCACAAGTGGACCAAGATTAAAACCTGTGACAATCTAAGTTACATGGTGGCAACCTTACCATTGTGCAAAGGCTCACCCTCACATCATATAAAACTTAACTATATCAAATCAAGGCATGGTAACAACCAAGGGCAGTATTGCAAAACACACACATAAGCTTCAAATTTCAAAGCAGTACCCCTTCCAGTTAAAAGGGGAATTTCCACAAGCCGGTAGGAATATGAGTAACTTGGGGTGATAAGGCAGAAAATAGGGGCTAAATTTGGGAAGCTTTCCACTTCATTATATCTTTTGCAAAATTCGAGACTAGAGAGGACACATTCTTTTAAGCTTATAACAAGAAAGAGAACAAACTCAGTACAACGAACCCATAATCCATACAAGTTATAGCAAGTATGTTTATAACTTTATATATCTCCTAGAAGGCAAGAAATCATAAAAAATCCTATAAACCAAGGTCTATGGATGATTGTTAGCCAAAGCACACAAAATGGAGAAAGAAGGAACAGCATGAAACAATAATGTAGTTCATCGGCTACTTGTAGGGGTATAATTGGATTGACTACTCATAAACTATATGAGGAAATGTTCAGTCAAATTCATTTATTTAATTAAACAAACAAATTGAAGATTTAAATTTGACTCATAAATAAATGAATCGAGCTTGATTAACATCTTTTTTATTTGCAAGTCAAGCTTGAGGTTCAAGTGACTTATTTACTCCTCTAGCCACATACGTCATTGTGTTATGACAAAAATCAAGCTTTCAGAAAGACCACCTAGATTAAGGCCAAACCACCATAAGGCAAGATTTGACCATCTTTCCCTCAACTGAATGATACAACTCCAACCCTCTATCTAACACATCAATTCCTAATCTTTTCTTTCCTTATACAACCACTCATCCACCACAATAATTATATCTCTGCTCCACTTAGCTTATGCTGCAGGTAGCACTTTACTAACCAACATTCAGTACCGGCATCACCATTCTTATGCTTGCTCCAGTTCTTTTCACAATATGATTTTTGAAATCTCAGAAAAAAGTCAACACATGGATGATCACCCTCCAAGCTTATGCCAAACAATTGATTATTTAATTCCCATATTCAATTTTAGCATCCCATTTTAGCACTTCCAATTCACTAATGCCTGTTTGAAGGACACGATAAGAGAACAAGCTACGATAACTTTTTCTATCTTATCATACTTCCAATATCTATTTAACCTTATAGGATATGATAGATTTATCTTAAAGGTTTATTTGATATTACTCTCTAGTGTAAATTGCGTCATGTGGGTCGGAGATAATGTATCTAATCTATTATATTAATTCACATCAAATATAAAATAAGATAAAAGTTTATCCTACTTTTATCCAAATAATTTCCTATCATATGGTATCCTATTAACCTTTGACACAAATTCAGCAAGAAAAAAAAAAAACGAAAAACCAGTACGAGACAATAAAACTTAGAACACATATAAAACCATGATTAATTATACAAAACAATCCACGATACACAAGCAATGAACATACGCATACACTAGACGCAACCCTAGCCCTAAAAAGGCATACAGAGACACGTACCTTGATAGGCCTCGTTTATCTCTTGGAATCTGGAGGTAGCAGAATCCTGGCCTTTCTGCTTATCAGGGTGCCATTTCTGCAGACAGAAGCAAAGCGAGATTAGGCCAAAATCGGAAAGCCCAACAAATAAAAAAGCGTAAAACAGAGAGAACTCACCAGAGCGAGACGAATGTAATTGGAGCGAATATCATCATCCGAAGCATCATAATCCACTTCAAGTATCTTATAATAATCCTGCAACAAAACGACACCGTTTAGTTACAGAAAACTGACAAATCATAAAAAAGAAAAAAGAGAGCTCTACCTTGGGCGTGGAGAGTGCAGAGAAGAAATCGAAGTTGAGATGAGAATCGGGTTGTGGTTGTTCGGGTTTTGGAGTGGTGTCATCGTAATCATCCCATTCCCACATCATTTTGTGAATTAGTTCGAATTTAGAAAGAAAGGGATAATATGAAATAGAAATTGAATTGAGTGGTCCTTTGTCTCTCCGTGAGTCTTTCTGCCGCGTACGTATAACCCTGCCGCTATCTACCAAATCACGCTACCAACAATTTTCGCGAGAAATTTCTAGATAAGAGGATTGGTGGGAACAATATAATTAAATAACCATGCAATTCAGACTAACCTGCGATATTATATAGCTCCGCTTACACGCATTATTTCCAAACATATAAGACTGAAAGGAACCCTGTTACGACATGCTTCCATATTTTTTCCTGTTATGTGGTTCACTTTTATGGTATTTCCAAAGTTTGTTTTGTTTTTTTTTTAAATTAAATATTTGTCGTAATAGTTATATTTTAATTTCTTTCAAGATGTTATTATTTGGATTCTACCTTTTTAAAAAAAATACAAGACCTAATAATTAATTCCCTAATGTAGTGATTGATTTAATGTTATTAAGGAAAAATAGAAAAATTTTCATAGCTATAATAATTTTTTATTTGAACTAAAGTTTTCAATTTGAATGAAGTATGTTTGAGCTATCTAAGTAAAAAAAAAATATAAGGTACAAAATATATGGTACTTTCTTAAAAATAATATATATGTGTATATGTTGGTAATGTTATATTATGACTTTTGTTTATAATTTAAGTGTATATTTTGATAATTTTTTTATAACATGACTTTCATAAAAAAAAATTACTTTTTGACAAGTTTTTACAAAAAGATGATAGCTAAAGAAGACATGAGGCTTTTAGTCGAAGTGAGGAGATATAGGATTTTAATATAAAAAAATGAAATATTTTTTATTAGTTTTTATAAGAAACTTGTGATTAAAAAAATATGATGCCATAAATAATGTCAAAAGTTAGTAAAAAAAAGATATTTTGAGATACTTTTAAAAAAAATATTGGCTTCGTTAACTTTGGTCAAAGATTACTTTAAACTATTTCTAAAGAAAGAATCAAATACAAAGGCTTCAAAAAAAGATAAAAAATTTGTATTAAAATATCAATGCATCAAGAATAATTATAAACAGGTATAGATGAAGACATGTGTCAAAGATTATGGATGATATATGATAGTAGTTACGAGGAACATGTGTTTAGGTAGTTGTATTTTGTCTATAAATAGATTTTTAAATATAGTTACAGGGTAAATGATTTTTTTTTTTCTTAGACACATGCACTTAGTATCTTGATAATTGTCAACATTTTATGCACGTTAGATCTTATAGAAAGAGATCGTTAGTTATTTTGTGGCATTTGAAAGTGTAAGTCCTTCAATTATTATGTACTTTAAATTTACGATTTGATTGTTCTTTAATCTTTTGTTGTTTTCATTTCATATTCTATGCAACTTCTTCTATTCTATGAGCAATGTTAATTAATTTACTTTAAGAACACGTTATAAAGAATTTGTTAAGAGAATTTAAAATTATTTTTAAATTTATTTCTTTGTTAAAAAATTAAAAAATATATAATGCAACAATAAAAAATTCTATTTACTTAATTTTTTTTATAAAATAAGTATTTTTTTAATAAAAAATTATTTAAACAAATTATATATTTTTAAAAAATGAGTTTCGTCGCCTTAAAAAAGTTTAGTTCACCATAAGAAATATTTTTAGCTCTATTTAGTAAAGAATATTGTAAATTATTTTATTTAATATATGATTTTCATAACACACATATTAGACGAGTAGTATGAAATGAGATTTTTTAAAACCAAATTTTGTTGCTAAAATTGGTCTTAGGCCTAAGACATTCTTAAAAAAAGAAAAAATCTATATTTATTGAAGGTAGAGTTTGTTAATAATATAATTAATTCTTTGTGTCATGTATATGCAACTTCGTATTTAACGAATTTGAATTGACGTCAAACTTATTTAAATACACATCTATTTTAATGTTATAAGTTATAATTTTTATATTAAAACATAATTTAATGCGATTTTACGGGCTTTCCAAGCTTTACCTTTAAAGTCAGGTTTAGAATTGGATTTGAAAGTAAAATTTCTCTAATTTTGGCCGAAATAAGCATTATGCTGGAGAATCAACAATAACAATACTATGTAAAAGAAGTAGTTGGAACAAGTATTCACCTTATTACTTGTATAACAATTGATAATTTACAAGCCAATCTATGCACTTGATTACTTCTCTCACGGCGTAAAAGCTTATTTTGATGGACTGTATTTCTAAAGATTGCCTTGTTCTTGTAAATTGTATATACTACTATAAAATCATATTCAACCATTAATTTCTCAAAGCTTGACCTACAATTAAATTTTAGTACAACAAAGATAGCTCACAATTTAGCTAGATAGGTTGATTAGTTGCTTTTTTCATCGGGATAAGGTTTTAATATATAACATAATTAAAATAAGTATTATAAATGTTAAATTTTAATTCTTAAAATTAACAACTATTAGTTGTATTAGTCTTTATTATTTAAAGATATTAAAATTGAATAACTAAGTAATGATTTATCATCTTATGATATATGAAAGGACCAAGATGATATTATTTTAAAATTTGATTTTCATCTTTCATTTTTGAGATTTTTGAGAAATAACAATCTTTTCTCTTATTTCATGGGACATTCTTTTCTGGTCATCTCCTCTACCTTCTTGTAGTTGATGCCGTTGTCACTAAAAAAATATTTATCTTCTTCTTTTTAGAGATGTCAAAGGTGCTATTGGCCCACCAAAAAGTCGGCTACCTTGTTTTGGAAAGTAAGCTAAAAAAATGCAATCTGTCTTATTTAAATATGGGTTACGAGCTAACTCACCAACCCATTTAAAAAAATAACAAAAATTGTAGAAAAAGTTGTAAGGGGAGGGAGGTGGAGGCCCAATAATGATGAAGGATTTTCTTCCCTCAATGGGCCAAACTCGAATTGGCATCCCTATTTCCTTCCTTATCCCAAACCTCACACCATGAATCATTTTGTCATCCCTTCTGCTTTTAACCACTTCAAATTAACTCCTATCGTTGACTTTACTTTCATTTTACCAAAATATCTTTGACCCTCATTCTCCCCTGTTTGATTTGACAAAGTTATTAAAAGGTAAATATCGTTGTTGCAGTGGTTGGAAAAGAAAATATCATGAAAAAAAAATAAAACATATTCAAAAATATTAAAAGTTAAAGACATAAACGAACTACTTATCAAATATCTTAAAATAATATTATTTTATTACTTTTTACCTATCATTTAATTTGACAAATCATCATTATATTATTTAATTTTAATATTTTTTAACAACAAAGATTAAATTAATTTATAATTATTAATATTAGAGACTAAAACTTAACATTTTCATTTTAAATGATTGATTTGAACAATACTACATATTTTATGAATTAAAAATCAAAATTTACTAATAAATATATATTAAAATTATAACAATAAAATTCAAGATAAATTTTTAAGATGGAAAAAGAGACTATTATATCTTTGAGTTAAAAGTTTTTATTTATTTCTTTTAATATAATACAGTATTTTGGACCTATTTAAAGGAGTTTATAATTAATATGTGTTTCTAAACAAACAAAAATAAACCTATAGAAAGTTATTAAAGCATGTGCTTTAAAATTTTTTTATTAGAATATTATTTTTTATTAAATATTATATTGATAATAAAACAATTTTAATATTAAATTAAAAAATTGATAATAATTAGTATTTTTCATAAAAGCAATTTAATATTTAATTGCTGAATAATAATTCAAAGTAATATTCTTTAGAAAAATATTGGACCTTATTAGTTAATATCTTGAAGATATTAATTAAAGGATCAATAAATAAAACTCTTCATTGAAAATCATACTAAAAGAACATTAAGATTTATAGTGAAAATATTTAAAATTATTAAAAATAATTTTTATTTTTAATTCTTTAACTAAAGTCTAAAGATAATGACTTGTATTTGTAAAAAAATGATCTTGAGTGTATTATAATTTTGTCTTTTATAAAATGTGAAATTCATTTTTAAAAAATAGATTAATCACTGTTTAAAATAAACATTATTTATTAATTTTAAGAAAAATCTTAAATTTCACTTTAAACTTTCATTTCCTTAAAAATTATTAAATAACTGCTTAATTAAATAATATTTCCATAGCATGTAATTAGCTATACACAAAAAATAATTTATTTGAAATAAAAAGCATGCAAGTTGCTGGTTATGAAAAGGGAACAGTGGGACGAAGAGGAATATGCGAGGCAAAAGATACAGTTATTCCCACCAAGCAATCATAACCCATTTCTCTCTTCACTATACACCAAGTCACCAACCATCACACAAACCCACTCCAACACATTCAATTCAAACCCTCCAAAATACAAAATTTAAAAAATTAAAAAAAGTGCTCAAAGCTTAACTAACTAACCCTTCCCATTCCCATGGCCTCAATCTCAGGCATTTGCTCTTCCTCCCCAACTCTCAAACACCAAAACCATTCCCCAATACGACGTTGCACGCAACACCTCTCATTCACCACCCGCCCCAAACCCGCCCCCACGCGCTCCCTCGCACGTGAGGCTCCAGCGCAACTCTCCGCAATCACTAAAGGTGTGAACACGGGACTGGAGAAGGAACCTCGCCCCCTATGGCGACGCTACGTCGAGTGGCTCTACCAGCACAAGGATCTAGGACTGTACCTGGACGTGAGTCGGGTCGGGTTCAGCGACGAGTTCGTTCGCGAAATGGAGCCCCGGTTTCACTCGGCGTTTCGCGCCATGGAGGAGCTGGAGAAAGGTGCTATCTCGAACCCCGATGAGCGGCGCATGGTTGGGCATTACTGGCTTAGAGACTCGAAGCGTGCGCCGAACTCGTTCCTCAAGGCGCAGATTGATAACACGCTCGACGCCATTTGCACGTTCGCGAACGACGTCGTCAGTGGTAAGGTTAGTTTTTGCAGTCGAAGTTTTTTTTTTTTTTTTGTGTAAACATGTTAGTTGAATTGGCTGTTTTTGGTTAGTGATTGTTTGGGATTTGGCAGATTAAGCCTCCGTCGTCGCCGGAGGGCAGGTTTACTCAGGTACTTTCGGTTGGCATTGGAGGTTCTGCTCTTGGACCGCAGTTTGTTGCGGAGGCATTGGCTCCTGATAATCCTCCACTCAAGGTGATCCAATTCAATGGAATTATGGTGTTTTTGTTGAAGGGAATGTTGGATTTTGTTTGCAATGTCTACTACTACTGCTTTCAGTGCTATGTGAACTGTGAAGAACACTTTTCTGGTTTTAGTCTTTTATAGAGGATAAAAACTTAAGTGTAGTATTTAAATTTCTGCTCTTTAATCAAAACTAGAGTTTATCTTGTTAACCCACATGGTTAAAAGTTTTACAACTATAATTTAATTAGAGAATAATGCTGGCGAAACTCCAATTTAATTAGAGAATAATACTGATACTGCACCTTGGTTTTCTTCTTTAAGGATTACTAGTGGCATCTGACACATTTTTAACGAGTAAAATTTATGTTGACCTGCCAATGAGGGAGTGGAACCCATATTATTTAGTGGGTTGACATGGGTTTCGTTTAATGATAATGGAGTTTTTTAATTGTGTGTGTATTAATGTATGATATGAAATTGTTGAATGCACTACTAAATCTTTAAAAAGACCAGCATTAAATAAAGGGGTTGTCTATTGTGTACCCACAAGCACATAATAGAAAGTTCCAATAATAAAAATGTGTTGACAAGAGTGTATTGATAGCATTTTTCTTATGGATTTATTGTCAAGTGTGGGAATGGAATTCAATTTACAATGTGTTCTAGCATTCTTCCTACCACCTTGTGTGGTTCCATAATTTGACCTGTCAAGAATTTTGTTAGGGTGGTGATGGTTAAACAAATAATGCAGTGCATTATTGTTTGCTTTTGTGAAGGGTTTGTGAGAACTTGGGGTGGGTGGTGTTGTTTGGTCTGAGACATGTGAGATCCAAATTGTGCTAATATTGTCTTTCCTTGATATATTAATTACCTCCCATTTTGACGTTTGGTTCTTTACAACATAATTGACCTGCCATTGCTATTGTGCATGAACATAAAATGCCAATTTGGGCCTCACGTAATGTTTTGGTCTTTTGACAGATAAGATTTATTGACAACACGGATCCTGCTGGAATTGATCATCAGATTGCTCAACTTGGTCCTGAGCTAGCTTCGACACTTGTGATAGTAATTTCAAAGGTCTGCATGGAGATTATACGTTTTCTTTTGTTTAATTATGATGTTAGTGGGACATATTGTTGATGTTGTTGAACAAGATGTTTTGATTTATCTTCAGAGTGGAGGTACCCCTGAGACTAGAAATGGCTTACTAGAAGTACAGAAAGCCTTCCGTGAAGCAGGATTGAATTTCCCAAAACAGGTTTAATCCCAGGTTTTAATTTTAGTAGACTTTTCGTTTAACTATTATTATTGAATGATGATCCATTTAAATCTCAAGTTACATTAGTATTTTTTTATCACTTCTATGCCTTCTATTTTCATAGATTTTCTTGCCTTGTCTAGATATAATTGAGCATCTTGAGTTATTTAGAGCATGTTTGTTTTCCATTTTAAAACAATTTTTTGTTTTTAAAAATAAAATATAATATAAATTTGTATTATGTTTTATTTTTAAAAACAAAACTATTTTTAAAATGGAAAACAAACATGCTCTTAAAGTTTCTTTTTTCACTGTTCATTAAAGAGGGGGTTGTCTTTGAATTTTGGGAAATTACTTTCTATACTAATTTAATATAATAGTTGTTGATTATTTATCTATAGTAATTTTACTTATTTGCAATGCTTTATTAATTTTTTTTTTTGCACTGTTGTGAATTTCTCAATGATGTGGGCCCTACATCAGTTGCACTTATGTGATCATTTGTCTACTTGCTAATGTATAATGCAGGGTGTTGCTATAACACAAGAAAATTCATTGTTGGATAACACTGCAAGAATTGAGGGCTGGTTAGCTAGATTTCCCATGTTTGACTGGGTGGGAGGTAGAACATCAGAGATGTCTGCAGTTGGCCTGCTTCCAGCAGCCCTTCAAGTAATTAACCCTGAATGTAAATTTATTGCTATATTACTTTGATGTTTTGTGTTCAATTGTAATATTTCTTGATTCAGAGCATTGACATCAGAGAAATGCTTGCTGGTGCAGCATTAATGGATGAGGCAAATAGGAATACCGTGGTATGCATATGTTTCCTAACTTTCTATCCAATGTGTATGCATATGTTTCCTAACTTTCTATCCAATGTTTTAATTTTTGAGGATTACTTCTAGTGATGTACTTATTTTGATGAAGGTTTTTTCTGTATGACAATGCAAGGATGATAGTCAATCTACAAAGAGTTCTACTATAATAAGAACAACTTATGTTTAATTACTATTGATGCTCTATGTGCCAAATTCATGTATGTGGTGGTCAAGTATGAAATATTTGGAAATTGGCCTGTAAGTAGTTAACAACAAGTGAGATGCTTATATGAGATGCTTATAAAATGTTTGTATTTTGTACACATAGTATCTTCCTGATATGAATGTCTGATTTATCATTCCTTGTGACTATCCGCCCTCAAGATGCATTATGTGTTGATAAGCAACGCACCACAATAAAACCAGTGTATATCAGAAGAAATAAAGGTGCAGCAAAGGAATATAGGCTATTAGATGTAATCTGACTAGGCTGACTAATTCTGATAAGGACAATGAGAGTTAATGACAGTGACAGTTACTAACTGTGAGGGGAATTATTATAACCAGAAGGGGTCTAGTGAATAAAATAGAGGCTGTAACTAGGGTGGGGATAGGATTTCTGTAATCTGATAATTTGGGAGAGGTACTGGACTTCTTGAATTATCCAGCTACACAGCTATTCTACATTCTTTCCTGATTCAGGTCTGTTACCCCATTGGTACAGGCTTGACATAGGACTTCTCAGTAAAAATTCTGTTATCCTGATTCCAGTTTAACATGAGTGCATTGGGGTTTAGGGTATATCATACACCTATCTTTTTAGAGTTAGATCTAATGCCCACCCTTCCTTTGGTTTTGAATTTGGCATCTCGAATCTATTGATGTGCAGGAAGGAGGCATTGGTATTCTAGGATCCTGTAATCTGATATGTTGCTGAGTAGTTCATCGATTGATAAGCTGCTTTAAGTAGGTTGAGATTTAGAAAGAACCTTATTGAACAAGAATAATGATGGTTGTGAAGGCTGATTCCACGGCATGTATAATTTGCTTTAAGCTGAATTTATGTGCTGTGTTTGCAGTGGCTACCTCTGTAACGCTAATATTTTTAAAATTTTCTAATTTCTTTCTCATATTTTCACTTGTTTTTGAACAGAAACTGAGAATACATTACAAGTAAAAAATTCTCATACTTTGGAAGTTGACAGTTCTCCCAAAGTTTTTAATTAAGCAAATGGCATGGAATCTGAATATATGTATTCTAAGCTATATAACATAGGCTGGTAGAATGTTTCCAGCTGAATCTGGTCCAACTTCAAATGAAAATTGGTATTAATCTAGAGACCTATAAATCATGACAATTTAGCCATGAAAAGCTGTAAATGTTATTTTTCAACTTAAACTAGGTCTTATTTTTAGCATCAATAGTAATGAAGCTAAATTCTCATGAGGATCAGTGCAGATGTGGCAATGGCACATACAGACTAAATCATGATGTTACATTTGCCAAGAAACTTTGTAAACTATATGTCATGTTTCTCAGTTCCTTTAGGTTCTTACTTTCTGTCAAGATGACTGTAGAGTTTGATACATCTTCCTGAGTATATTTTGTACTGGTCTAGCTTTATTTGATACAAACAATGCAATCTTCAAACAGAAAAAGCTTTTAGGATTTATTGGGTTTTCTTTGTCAAAGCAAGGATAGAATGGTTGGTTAAGGACTTAAGGGTTTTAGAGGGTAGATTACTAAGTGTTGCAAGAAATGGAATGTGGTTTTAGGGCTTGATTAGTGGCTATAAAAGTCTGCCAAAGAAAAATGATTTTTGATTAGTGAAATAAAATAAGGTTGAGATTGAGAAGAAAAGTAACATAGACATCTCACCAAGGTTTGATCACGTTGTGTAATTAACACTGTTGTGCTAAAATCTTGTAAATCTGATCTGACGCATCAAAACTGCTTGAATAGACATCTTGTCAGTTATGATCCAAGAACTAGGAATTTAAATTTATTTAAATTGGTGAAAACTTTTTCAGAGATTAAAAGTAAATTTATAAGATTATTTTTAAGAATTTAAATTTTTAAATTCATTTCTTTAGTTTTATAAATTAGTATCTTACATGTTATATTGACAGATGACTAATATGATTAGTCGTCATTGATGTGACCAGTAGTTATCATTTCTCATGATAACTAATCTTATTATTACCTTTTTCTATAATCCTCTTTAAATTTGGATTATTGATCTCAAATTGTAAGGATCTAATCTTTGCCTTGGATATTATAACTTCCAAGGCTTTCTTAAAATTCTACATTGAATCTTGGCCATTAATATATATTTTGGAAGAACGGATCTCAACCAATGGATCATTTTCCTCTTTTCTATAAAAGTCAAAGAAACATTTTTTGTCCTTTCTCTCTCTACCGAGCTGTGACATCCTCCTTCATTTTGGCCATCTCACACTTCATTTTTAACCACCATTTTTGCCTCATTCTACCTTCCTTTCTCTTCCATATTAGTCCTTTCTCAAGCTCTAGCCAAAAAGAAGGTGGAAGTGGCGGCTAAGTGTGGAGAAGATGTTGAAACAGCTACAAAGGTGTTGGAGGGTGGTAGTGCAACGACCTTGGGAGAGAAAATTTGAAGTGTGAGATAGCTAAAATGTGAGAGGATGTCATGGCTTGCTAAAGAGAGAAAGGGAAAAAATGTGTTCCTTTAGCTTTTATAGGAAAAAGAAAAAATGACCCAATTGGAGATTGGTTCTTCCAAAAATTGATCAAGGGCCAAGACTGTGGAATTTTAAGAAAGCCTTGGAACTTCTAATATTCAATGATCAAGATGATCCTTACAATTTGAGATTAAAGGTTTAAATTTAAAGAAGATTCTGAAAAAAGACAATGATGTGATTAGTTGTCATGAAAAATTATAATTATTTGTCACATTAATGACGACTAGTCACATTAGTCATTTCACTTCGATTCTGGATCCATTCTCAACTTGGAGATAAGTTTTTTCTGCAATAATAGTATTAAATATTCCCAAGGTCTTGAAACACAAATGAATTTACCCTAAGAACTTTATTTGTCAATAGAAACTAATTTCTAAAACTGATGAAGTAAATTCTATAAATTCCTCTTAAATTTTCTTTTATAAATTTATTTTTAATCATTGAAATTTTTTTCACCAATTAAATAAATTAACCTGTCAGATTGCATGATTCTACCTGGCAGGTATCAAAATACAAGGTAAGAATTGTCTCAAACCAATTTCAAACAATCATTATAAATCAAATTATTAGTGCAAATAATTTTCTCAAAAAAAATATTCTCTCTGTCTAGTATACTTGCTCAGTTGCAGCTTACACTGATCAAAGTTTGACAAACAAGTCTAGAGAAAGAGGGTGTTTTAGATATGTCCTATGAATCTTTGTTCTCAAAGTAACGTGTCTTTTTAAAATCATGGTGATAGGTCGATAGTGTGAGACTGTGAGATTGTTTTAGAATAAGCATGCCTCATTACCTACAACATGCTTTTGTGGCAATGCAAATAATCATTTTCTCCTCTAGATGGTACTGTCCAATAATATGTGAATGAGGCAAAATTGAGAACATCAATGTTCATATTCGGAAATAGGAAAACCTGTATGATAAAAAATGAGAACATGGCAAGCTGGTTTTGTCTGCAGGAAACAATTATTTTTAGACAACCCTTGCCTTTATAAACATAGTGTCATTGATTGTGGTAACTGGCATGACAATTAGGTACGTAGTGCAACTCCTTTTTGGCCATTTCTTTCTACTTTGCTGCCTGCTCAATTTTGATTCCCTCCTCAATGAAAAAGAAAAAGAATCAAAAGATCTCTTATTTATCTATACTTTTATGCAGATAAGGAATAATCCTGCAGCTTTGTTGGCATTATGTTGGTATTGGGCTACAGATGGTGTAGGATCAAAGGTATGGATCGTATATGTTATGAATGATTTGCAACTGTCTTCTGTTTCATGTCACCATTGCTTATTGTGATCATTTCCTCCTTTTTATTCCTCAGGATATGGTTATCCTTCCGTATAAGGACGGTCTGTTATTATTTAGTAGGTACTTGCAACAGTTGGTCATGGAATCACTAGGCAAGGAATTTGACTTGGATGGTAATCGGGTATGTGAATATGATATGTGTAGCAGATCTTACTAGTACTACCATTATTTTCATAGTTTCCTGCATTTTCAGATGAATTGCCAGAAAATTTTCTTTTAATCAGTTTACAGCTGCCTGTATATAGAAACAACTGAATGGACTCTTATTAACTATAGTTTTGTAATTGATTGTTCCTGTCATAGGATTAGGAAGTACACATTTAACAATTTTAGATGGAATTCACCTGCTTTCATCGTACCTGGGATATGTTAACTCAATTGAGATACGGTTGATATGGTGTCCTAGTTTGTACTGACATCCTAGAATGGTGGACCTTTTGTGCTATATGTTCTTACAATTTGTAACCATGTTTAATCTTAAACACTTTAAATTTTCATGAGTTAATATTATATTTAATTCTGATTCCACAGGTTAATCAAGGAATTAGTGTCTATGGAAATAAAGGAAGCACAGATCAGCACGCGTGAGTTTTGATTCTAGTTTTAAGTTTGTTCAACATAGTTTTTGGTTTGAACTAGTCTAATAATTTTTTACCTGAAACAGCTACATTCAGCAACTGAGGGATGGTGTACACAATTTTTTTGTCACATTCATTGAGGTGCTACGTGATAGACCACCTGGTCATGATTGGGAGCTTGAACCAGGTGTCACATGTGGCGACTACCTGTTTGGTATGCTGCAGGTCTGACCTATTAATCGAGTATATTTTCCCAATGCATTTGGTGGTGATCTTATTTAAAATTGGCTGTGGTTAAAGGTTATGTTCGCATAGTGCTAAAATGTTAAGTTTTACAGGGAACAAGGTCAGCCCTATATGCTAATAACCGTGAATCCATCACAGTGACTGTGCAAGAAGTGACACCCAGATCAGTTGGTGCCCTTATTGCACTTTATGAACGAGCAGTTGGGATATATGCTTCACTTGTTAACATAAATGCTTATCACCAACCTGGTAAACTGTAAACACTTGATTTCTTTAGTCTGTTTAAGGATTTTCTGGATCATAGTAATTAATTAAAATTTGTTCCATACATTGTCATGGCAATGCTCTAGGTTGGTTTGGAAGCTTGAGTAATGCAAATGAAATTGTCCTATTTGGTTAGTGTCATCAAATAATTAACCGCTTCTGAATCTGATATTTAGGTGTGGAAGCTGGTAAGAAAGCCGCAGGAGAAGTATTAGCACTTCAAAAGCGGGTATTGGCTGTGCTAAATGAAGCAAGGTATGTTATATTATGTTCGTAAATATCATGCTTCTCTGTCTTAGCGAGAAATATATTCGAAAATATAAGGCAATGCTGGATCTCATGAAAGCATGAGTTACGGAGGTGGATAATTTTGCATGGGTCTACAGAAGCAGAATATATCCCAAGGCACAGTAGTAGGTCCTATCATTTATGTCTACTTAGGATGCATTTGTCTTTATCTTATAGCAAGGAATAAGAATTATTGGACCTCTGATCACTAGTAACTTGAAATTATTCCCGCTCTTGGGCCTCAGATTCCATGCTGGGGATGTTATATGCCGCTACAAAAAGAGGATCAATATCTGAAATTCATTCTTATTTTTTGTACGTCATATCCTAATTCCTTATGAATGCATTGCCCGATCACTGATTGTTATTTGTCTGTTTTTGTTTTCAGCTGCAAGGAGCCTGTCGAACCATTAACGCTTGAAGAAGTAGCTGACCGTTGTCATGCCCCAGAAGATGTACATACATTTGCTCGACCGCTCCCCTCTATTAATTTCCTCAAACAGATTTATTAATCACTTTATTAAGGGCCGTCAGTCACATAGATTTAATAACATTTTTACTTATTCTGCAGATTGAAATAATTTATAAGATCATTGCTCATATGGCTGCCAATGACAGAGCACTAATTGCTGAAGGTAACTGTGGTTCTCCACGGAGCATCAAGGTTTTTCTTGGTGAGTGTAACGTTGATGAATTGTATTCTTGAGTTAGACTGACGAAATATTTATTCCATAATGGTATAGATGTGTTTGAATAACCATCAAAAGAAAGGAAGCAGGTTACAATAAATTGTTTTGATTGTTGGATCTCTCCATCTACAATGAAAATGATTTTTTAGACGAACTTTTGAAAGGGTGGTTGAGTTTTGGTGATCTGTTTGAGTCATATAAATTTAACTACATTTGATATTACAATGGTATAACGAAATGGAGAATCTGGTTGGTTAATGTATAATTCTGTTTATCTAATGGGTGTTTTGTAAAAATGTTATTATTCGATTTTTAGTACATTAGATTATGTGATTTTTATATAAATTTATTATATACAAGTTAAATTAAATACAAGTTAGAAACGCTATATAATTAGGCAAGGTCGTCTTTATGGAACGGAGTGACCTTTTACCAAAGTTTATGAATAAAAGAATCATTATGACCTTTTTGGATAGGTTGAAGATGATGTGTTGATAAGATTAGCCGATTAGGAACAAGCTATACATTGCAAAAGCTCCATGTGATTCAGACCATAAAATACATCGTAATGTGTTTGCTACCACTCAATTCCGCTCCTTTACATGTCTGCATCTTCTGCCGATCGTGTTCTGCTGACTTAGTCACTAGTGTTTGCTTCTGGCTGCAAATCCTAAGAATTAATAAATAAATTCCCGGGCTTGCTTAAAATTAATTTTTTTAATACACAATTAAATTTATCTAAAAATTTGTGTAAAATCACATAATTTCTTTTACGATATATATAGATATATAGTAACAATCATGGCCAACGTACACACATTAGCCATACGTACACACATTACACCTAATAAATGAAGCCAATAAAGGGACAATTCGACGTTTGTCTCTATCAGGCAATGTGTATGGCAATTGGCTCTACTCAAACATTTTTCAATCAACTTGTCGTCCATATTTTTTTTCATTCTCAATTATTTGTTCCCTCGCAGATGAAGCTTTCACACGCAGCTGTCAAATGAATTTGAACACTGTTGCTTGCTGTCTAGGAACTTCCAAGTTCAAAGTTTAAACATAGATAAAACAACTATATTATTTGAATAATTAAAAGTTGTCACCACACATAACATTATATATCATTTTTTTAATGTTTATCTCTTTTCATATACACGGATTTTTAAAAAAAATACTTAAATTATAAAGAGTATACCTAAAATGTCACTCACTAAATAAAAACGCGTTCACATTTGTCAAATCTCTCTTGCACCTTATTGTATGCTGAATAGATGCTCAGGTGTATCTCACACCGCACCATGCCAACAATATGACACATCTTCCCTAACATAATTTCTGCTACATTACTCCTCCATTCTAGTGGTAAATAAAAGCATGGTAGGTTTATTTTATTACGTTATTATTATAATTATTCACTCTTATGTGGGTTTCTAGCTGAGGTGTTAAAGATGCGGTGGGCGCGTGCATCATTCATTTACTAGCTTAATAATGCAGGGGTACCAACCATTCCAGTACCAGTGGGATACCTATGTCAAAATGATAGTGTAATGATTAAACATTTGAAATGAGAAAATGTCAAATATCATTAAAAGTTTATCGTTATTTTGACATTCAAAATTTTTCAAATTAAAGTCCCTTCTCTTCACGGCCTAACCAACACAACACCCCTTCATGATTCTAGCCGTCAACGTGAAGCATATTCCTCCTGGCCGTGACAACAAAGCTGTTCCCAAACTAAAACCATATATAGATGCCAAAAATTTAAGTGCATAGATATAAGTATTATAATTGTTGTTTAATTAGAGTTAAAGTTTTACTTCAATAATATACTCATCGTATTAATATTATAAATTGATGCATATTATTGAAATGAAATTTAAATTTTAATTAAGAAATAATATTAATAATATTTGTATACTGCACCTAAGTTTTGTTTTGTTCATATGCAAATTTTCCTTCATAACACTATCCACTGATTCATAGTTCATTCACCGTCCTAACGAAGCTGAGTCAGTGAGTGTTCTGTTAATAGGCAACAACATAATATAAACATAACAGCAAAGGAATAGAGTAGGATTCAAGTGTGACCCCACCACCATGTGCATATGCCACTTGTGGGGACACTTTTACTCTTTTGCGTATTTTTCCTCATCACAAACTGCGAATTTTATTGTTAAAGACAGACCATAAAGGGTCCCCACTACAACGTTCGAATTTCGATCCAACCTTTATTGCTTGTTTGAATTAAATAATAAATATAAACTAATTAAAATAAATTACTTCCCCCATTCCTGTTCTGGTCATGTATTGCATTTTTTTATTCTCTTTTAGTCGGTGATTTAAAGCAGCAAAGAATAAAAATAATAGCAATACACTTTTTATAATATATTTTTTATTATTAATTAACATTTGTTGAAAATTATAAAATATAAAAATTAATTTTAAAATAAAAAAATCCATGTAATTTCTACAATTTTGAATAAATATTAACAAATAAGAAATATTGAGTATTAAAATAAACGTAAAAGTCTTTTTGGACTAAGCAAACGGCGTCATATTAACGTACTTGTTTATCATGATCGTCGTTTGTTTTGAAAGTTTCTAGAATCAGACAACAGACTTCCTATAACGTATATTATTTTGGAACACCTTATATTCTGTTTAGTATGTGTGCAGTTTATTTTGAATTCATTCATGTAATTTTTTACATATGTTAAATAATAATTTAAATAAATGTAATAAAATTATCTAAATGATTTTTTTTATTTAATAATAAGTGAAGACAAAATATTTTTAAATGAAAGAAGAAAAGTTTATCAAACTATTTCTATTTTTGAACAATTTTTTTGCGCCACAAATCTTGCAATGAAGACTCACCGAAAAAAACATCTTGCAACGAAGATGCATTGCGATGCTGATGGATAAAAAACGATTACAATATGAAATTATAAACTTGATATTTCTATTTGTTTATTATTGATTTTCTTTTATAAAAAATTGACATCAAGCTAAGACTGAAAGCGACTAATTTGGTTTTAAAATTTGTAAACACAGAATTGATACTGACTAAATCGGGAAATAAATTAATATTGAAATGATGCTGATAATATTTTTTTTTATAATAATTATAGAATTTTACATTATCAAGTAACATTTTATAAAATTTCCACTCATAAAATTACATCAAGATTATTTAGGAAGATTTACAAAAGATTTTGTACAATAATAAATAAATATTAAAATAAGATAATATTAACATCAATTTTTAAGATTAATTTAAATAAACAGAAAGTATGTTTTTATCAATTAAATATTTCCTATATCATGTAATAATTTTTTTAAGAACTTTTTTCATTTTTAAATGTCTAAAATTGTTAAATAAATGCCATGGTATAGAATTATAGAATCCTCTTATTATTAATACCATGAAGAAAATAAACGGTCATAAATGGGTTTTATTGAGATCATTAAAGAATAACATAAACAATAACATTAGTGCAAGCAAACCCAACAAAGAAAGAGAGAGAGAGGGAGCAGAGCAGAGTGGCTTTTTGTGGGTCTATTCTTTTGTGTTCAGTCTCTGAGTTAGTGTGTGAGAGATAACCAAATAAAGCTTTTTGAGTAAGCAAACCCCTTTTTCCTCCCTCAAATCTCGCACCCCATTAGGTTTCTACCTTCCCTATACTGATTCATTCATTCCACCTTCTAAATAGAAACATTTTTCTGCTATTTTTTACCCCCTCTGCACTCAAAACCCTTAACTTGGATTCATATTCGTACATGTTACACTGCATTGTTTTCCTTCATTCTTTGTAGCAATCCTTCCTTTTGTATAAACCAAGTTTCTTCTTTTATGTTAGGCTTCGCATTTGATAGTGCATTTGCATAAGGGGTGTTGGTTATTTGAGATTTTGTGGTTAGGTTAAGATGTTCACTGAAGGCCTTGACAGAAATGCACTTCGATGGGTTAGAGAGGTAACTTTCACTTTTAAAGTTTTTCCCTTTTTATTTTTAAATTTCCTTTCTCCAAGTTTGATTTTTTAATTTTATATCAAAATGGGTTTCTCTTAATTTGTCCTTATGTTTGTAAAGTTCTGATTTTTTCACGTTGGTGATTAGAGAAGGAAGTTCCATTGTGGAACAACACCACCACTTTGTGATCACATTAATGCTTGTAAAGTTGTGATTTTTTTTTTTTTTCATTTCTATTTTGGGTTGGTGATTAGATGGGACTTACATTCTCAACTTCACATTGAAATCACGATAATGTGTGTGAATGTTCTGATTTTTTTTTTTTTTTGTTGGTGATTAGAAGGAAGTTCCAATCTCAAACACCACATTGAGATCTCGCAATGATCCCGTCAGTGGGATGAAGAGTGGTGCTGGCAGAGGGTTTGGGTTACCGCCACCGGCAAAATTCCGAAGTGGGCATCTTCCTGCCAATTCAATCCCTGTATCAACAGTTATACCGCCTGAGACTGGCGATAGCGGTTCAAATTCTGATAATGATATGAGCATTGACTCGGAGGAAGATGTGTATGGTGGTAGATATTCGTTGGATTCGTCACCGCAAGACCACAGAGTCCCCAGTGGTGCTGCTAGGGGACATGGGAACTTCAGTCAAAGGGGACCCCGGTATGGTAGTGATTATACATACTCTGAGGTTAGTTCTTCCAGGGAAACACTGGTTGGTAGAGCTGGTACTGTGAGGGATCCGTTGATGAGGAGGGCCGCAAATGTAAGGCAGAGTGGCTTCACAGAGGATGATTCATCGGATTCAGCAGCAAGCTCCGAATTCTCTACCACCCAAGTAGGAAGTATCAATGGCACTCTGCCTAGAAGTAGAGCCTATATGTCAGAAGGGTATACTTCTAGTGTGCCTTCAAGGATGAATGTGCATAGTGCTGCAGAAAAGGTATGGAATTGTGGATATGTTATAAACTATTGAAGTGTATAGTAGTAATGTGCCTACATATCACCAAGAATGACATAACGTTTGCACCATGACCATGTTATATGTAATAAGCGAATAGCTAATGAAGAGGTGAAAGTAATGTTACTTGTGCAAACTCTGGATGATGATTTCATGTATTGTTTTTAAAGTAGTAGTTTTTTTACACCAATGAATGCAAATTTGATCATGCAAACTTCAGCTTACTGTAATTTGAAATTTGTATTTGATAAGGCAGATCACACTAACTATGTTGTACAGGCAATGTGTCCCTTTCTTCTAACTCATTATTTCCTAATAAATTTTCTCAGTTTTGTGTTTTGTTTACCCTCTACAAATGTAATATCTTATCTGGCTGAAAATTCTATATTTGTGCTATTAAAATCCACAGAATGGAAGATTATCTGATGATGATGAGGATGACATTCCCAGTGCACCTCCATTTTGCGGTTCTCAGGGGATCAGACAAACACATGAGGAAATTACTGCTTCCGGAGCACACACTGCTCCTAAAAAAGCAGAATCAAGTTCTTTGAAAACTATGTCTGATAAGATAGAAAATCATGTTGAAAATGAGAGCACTGACCAATTTGTTAGGTTAGTATATTTGATTTAGAATATTTGAGTTCTTATCATCTCTAAAAACTCCTGGCTTCCTTGATGAACAATATGTATGGATCCAATGCCATCATAAGTTTGATTTATGTTCACAGAACTGCTACTGGTTCAGAGGCTGCTCCATCTTCAAATTCACATCCACCTCGCCTTCCAACATTTCATGCAAGGTATCATCCTTCTTGCCTTCTTGATTGTGCTGAATACTTTTCTCCTAAGAAAATGTGCTAATATTACTACATATATTCATTTCAGTGCTCTTGGGCCATGGCATTCAGTGATTGCATATGATGCTTGTGTGCGTCTTTGCCTTCATGCTTGGGCAATGCAGTGCATGGAAGCTCCTATGTTTTTGGAAAATGAATGTTCTTTACTTAGGGATGCATTTGGGTGAGTAAAGACTTGAGACTCTTCCTCTTCTGCTCTTTCTTCCCTCTTTTTGAGTCTTGATCAAATAAATTCTGGTAAAGATGTTCATGCTTTATCCTGTTATGTGATTCATGAGTGGAAACAAGTGCTAATAACTGAACCTGGTCTGGTTCCACGAGTAGATAGTATTTTGTTTAATGTAAAACATGTATTTACTATGTTATGCGGAATCTGGCTGAAGAATTTAAAAAAAATATGTTGTGGTGAGTCCATGGAACAACTAAACATTGAACTTGCAGGGTTCCAATCTGGAAATTGCTGGTTCAGAAATAAGTAGGGGAATGTAATGATCTTATAAAATTTATATAGGGGAGACAATTTATATCACTGAAAAGAAAAGCTTGTATTAATCATAACTGTCTCTAAACAACGAGTACAAGCTTTTAACGATCAATACAGCCAATGGTGGACAATTGTGTTCTTGTCAATAAATAACAAAACTTAATATGCTGAGCCAATGTCATAAATTACTGTGACCATCAATGTCAATTTTGCTTGGGTGCAGCAGTATGATTTGACTCTATTGTGTCAGTTCAAGTGCTTTAGAACTTTCCTTGCTACTCATTATTTATATTTTACTTTCATTGGAGTGTTATGCACCTAGTGGGTTATTGCTTGGCTGTGGTAGGGTAGTATTGTTATGTTATAAGCTACAAGTACAAAATGTTGTCCTAAATTCATTTTCTCATGATGTTGTTTGTTTTAAGTAATATATACTGGTTTCACAGAGAGATGGTCCTCAACATGGTGCTGTGGACTCTGACCAAGTGATTAGGAGTTTGATCATGGTCTCTCTCATTCTTCTAGATGAAATTGAATTTTAGTGTAAGATACATAGGACAGATTTGTGGCATTGTCTTCAAATCCCGAAGGGCAAGGGTGGGGTGATATACATGAAATCATCCACATGCCTCTGCTTATCAACTTAATATTTTTGAATGGTCGGTCCCTACAATTACTTCCATTCTTACTGGATTTTTTTTATCTTTTTGAATATGTAGATTGCGACAGGTACTATTGCAGTCAGAGGATGAACTGATGGTGAAGTGCAATTCTGAGCTTTCCAGCGAGGGTGTTGCACCAAAGCCCAAAAAACTTATTGGCAAGATGAAGGTGCAAGGTATATTATCATGTTATCTTTTACTAGTCAAATTATTTAACTTATTCATAGTGAATCTTTGTTGAGACATTCTTCACTTTACAGTACGGAAAGTCAAAATGGGCCTGGACCCTCCTACTGGCTGTAACATGTCATCATTGATGACACACAAACTTAGAATGGATTCTGTGAGATACCACTTCTCCAATTTGCAGTCATCACTATCATCCGGATGGCAAAAGCTCAAGAGAGTTCGATTTGTACCTCATTTGCCTGCGAATGGTTCCTTAGCACGGCAAAGCTTGGCGTATGTGCATGCTAGCACTCGATATATACAGCAGGTGTCTGGACTCCTGAAAGTTGGGGTAACAACCCTCCGGAACAGTTCATCATCATATGAAGTTGTGCAAGGTTTGTAATAATGCAGCCAGCCTGCATTGCAATTATTCATTATCACTATTTTTGCGTTAGGGAGAAATTGTGAAAAAATATCCTTTCTCTATTTCAATTAAATACCTTACTCTTCCTTTATCACAAAATTTCAATAGTGATGTTTTATTATATATCTAGACATGTGTTTAACTTAAGAAAGCAATTTGGCTGAATTGATTTTAGCCTTTTCTGTAACTAGCGCTTGGTGCTTGATTAAGACATGTTTAGATACTTAGAATTGAAATTAAGAATCAAGAAATTTACACTAGATTCAGGTGCTTGATATACTAGCTGTCTTTGTGCATGGGGAATGGTATATTTTTGAAGTACTAGTTTAGATGTTTATGCTTGTCTGAAAAGTAATTTTCTAAATTTACACTTAAACAATTGACTTATTATTATATGTAAGTAACCCAAGCTGATCATTGAATTGTTAAAGGCATTGGTTCTCAACTCATTACTTCAACCATAATCAGTTGATTTTTTAGATTGAACAGACCAGACATCTGACCAGTTTTCAGTGGATTGAACAAAACTTTTATGATTTTTTTTGTTAAGAAATTATTCTAATTTGGTGTAGTTAGACAAACTCGTGGAAAGTGATACATCTCAATAGTTAGCAGCTTACAACTTTATCACTATCAAAATTGATAAACTTGGAGATGTCTTTGGTTCAATTCTTATTGTGGTATGTAAGCTCTCATTAAGCTTCTTAAATTTGGGCCTGAGTCTAACTCAACTTCAGCAGCTAGCTTGTAACTTGAGTGTTGCTTTAGGCTCTCAAAGTCTACTTTAGTCCTATCTGTAGTTGACATGGGATTTCAATACACTTCCTTACACTCAAGATTGGACATTTGGAGACTACATTGGAAAAATCCGTGGGGTCATTTTTTATTTTTTTTTTCAGTTAAGGGTGACTTTTAACATTGAATTTATGATAGGCTTCGATACCATCATAAATTTGGGCTTGAGGTCTAACTCAACATCAAAAACTAGTTCATTAGGTGAGAATTGTTTTAACTTGTAAGTTTTACTTTAGCCATATCTGTATTTGATGTAGAGCTTCAATTGAGCTTGGGGCATGCCCTAACCTTAGATAATCTGGTACCTCTCCCTTTTTCTTTATTGGGAAAGAATTGTGTTCTGGATATTATGTAATACTTCCATCAATACTTCCTGGATGGAATTCACCTTAACAATGATTATGACTTGTACAATAGTCCTTTAAAAAGTATTGCTATTGCAGCTTGGGTTAAAAAATAATTCCATTTCATATTTTATTATAACTAGTTATTGGCAGATTTTGGATATCTTTGTTTAATGTTTATACATTGTAGATGTTCTATTACTTATGTCTGTGTCATTCATTATATTTCTGTTTTAAATGTACCAACTTTATTCTCATTTCACTGTTAAGGTTTTAAATTTAGCTTGTTTCATTCATTTATTTTTCTGCTTGTGCATGTGATCAGAGACGTACTCGTGTTTCTTAAGACTAAAAAGTTCAGTTGAGGAAGATGCCATTAGGTTGCAGCCTGGATCAAGTGAAGTCCATGTGTTGTAAGTTTCTTTTCCCACTGTTTCTAATCTTTTATGATTGTGGATTACTTGAAGAAATTTCTGACCACTTTACAGTTTTCCAGATAGCCTAGGAGATGATTTGCTTGTTGAAGTTCAAGATTCCAAGGGAAAGCATTTTGGCCGAGTTCTTGTCCAAGTGGCTACTGTTGCAGATGATCCGGTAATACTTTCTTTTTCAATTTATTTCACGTATTGGTGCCTGTCATGAGTGATGATCATTACAATAGAATGTCATGTTCAATCTGAAAGCAGGCTGACAAATTACGCTGGTGGCCAATTTATCGTGAGCCAAGCCATGAGCTTGTGGGCAAGATACAACTTTATATAAATTATTCAACAACTGCAGATGACAATAGTCATCCCAAGGTTAGTTACTATGAAAGTGATTTTTAACATATAAACTGTAGCAGTGGAAACCGCAAATCTTGTTAGGTGTTCTTCCTTAAACCACAATCAGACTACCTCGGGAATTGGGAACATAAAAAACTTGGGGTTCTGCTCTTTTAAAATTTAAATGCTAATCATGCCTTAAGGTGATTTCCCGGCCCCAGGATTTGCTATATAGATATTTTAAATTATTTTTTAAAAATCTGTCTTAAGATCTCTCTAGAAGTGAATTTACGTGGTGAATGATGATAACGCTACAAGCTATTAACTAATTGGAACTGCCAAAAGCACAGTACTAAAACTAATTTATGTTAATTTTATGTTGAATTGTATTATTGACCTTCATTAGACATATCCATTGTAGGACTTCAGTTAGATATAAAGTGTTTCTACCTTCATCAGCCACCTTGTTTTCACGTCCTTTCCTCTTTTCAAATATTTGTGTAGGAAATGATGAACGCAAATTCTTGTTTCCAATTATTCTAACAAACCTTTGGAAACATGGAACAAAGTGAAAACAATGTGACATATTTGTAATTATTTGTGGAAAAACATGTTGCTATATGCTATTATCTAAATTATTTTGAGCTTCTTAATACATGGTGCCTCACATTGTTACATTTAATTGTCTCTTTTGTTGTTCAGTGTGGTTCTGTAGCAGAGACAGTTGCATATGACTTGGTTTTGGAAGTTGCAATGAAAAGTCAAGGCTTTCAACAAAGAAACCTATTGTTGAATGGTCCATGGAAATGGCTTTTGACAGAGTTTGCATCATATTATGGGGTATCTGAGATATATACCAAGTTGAGGTAATGCGAAGTTGATTTTTTATTTTCAAGTGAAATATTTAATTTATTAAATCTGCAGTTTCACACTGTTTTTAATTTATTGTACTGGTGATGTTCACATCATTTCTTTTAAATAGATATCTATCTTATGTGATGGATGTGGCTACACCGACAGCAGACTGCCTTAACTTGGTGTATAATCTGCTAGGACCTGTTATCATGAAGGGAAATGGCAAGACTTCTCTGAGCCACCAGGAGGTATCAGTGACATTTATTCATTCAAATGATGTAACTTTAACTGATTGTTTTGTTAGCATTTGTTTCCTGTCAAACAGATTGATTTTTTTGTCTTGTCTAACATGTTATGATTTCTACTCATCTCATCAGAATCGAATACTAGGAGAGACCAAGGATCAAATTGAACAGATTCTTACTCTTGTTTTTGAGAATTACAAATCACTTGATGAATCTTCTTTCTCGGGCATTATAGAAGTTTTCAAACCAGCCTCTGGTCATCCAGCGTCTGCATTGGAACCTGCTGTTAAACTATACAAGCTTCTTCATGATATCTTATCTCCTGAGGCTCAAACTGCCTTTTGTCATTATTTCCAGGTTGGAGAAACTTGAAATTTTCATGATGGCAGTTGCTAATTGACTACACAAATCTGTTTAATTGACCACTGGTCTCTTCCCAGGTTGCTGCAAAAAAGAGGTCCAGAAGGCACTTGAGTGAAACAGATGAATATATTACACAAAATAATGAAGGCAGTTTGATGGATAGCATGGCTATGTCTACTGCTTACCAGAAGATGAAAGCCCTTTGCATAAATCTTAGAAATGAGATCCATACCGATATCCAGATTCATAATCAAAATATACTTCCTAGGTATTATTCATTTCTCTAACCATCTATGTAATATAGTTTGCTAGGATTTTAATAAGGTTATATGTATAGATTCTCATTTTTTATTGTGCTTGTCTGTAGTTAAACTTTCTGTTATTCTATTTAATTGATGGTTACACAATGGAATACATGTCTACTATTGCAGGATTACCTTGATGTAAATTTACAATGCAATTGCTATTAATCAGGATCAACTTAACGGAATAGTTGATTACTAAGCATGATTTTCTAACTTGTACTGAAGTCCTTCCTTCTCAACACAATAATTGAAGGGGGAAATCAGGGTTTTGTTACCCTTTCTTACCCATGATTTTCATTCTTGATTTTTATCAGACTGAATGTTGCACCATTTCAAACAAGTTCTAACAAATTAAACCTAGTACCTTAGCATTAGTACTGATAATAACTGAATAAGTATACAGCCAAAGCAACAAACATACATGCAGCTTGTATAGTTCATAAATAAAAATTTGGACAGCAACAGATTATAAGGGAGGTTTTTTTATGCTAACTTTGGAAGCACTTAACTATTTATTCTATTTGGTCTTTGTTCCTGTTTATTGCATTTTGTCAGTTTAACCATTGTGGTTATTTTGAATTGTATTCGAGTGACAGTGTGCCTTTCTTAGTATAATGGTTACCTTTGTTCTACGCTTGGCTGAAGGGCATTGGAATCATAAATTGATTCACTTTAGTAGATGCATTTTGAGCTTTATATTCTTTTTTTGCTTGGTGGTCTAGTCTGTTAGTTCGTCAAACTACTACTGTAGGTTAAGGGTTCTAATATAGCTGGTTCATTATTTTCCACAGCTTTGTGGACCTGCCAAATCTTTCTGCTTCCATATACAGCACAGAGCTGTGCAATAGATTACGAGCCTTCCTCATATCTTGTCCACCAACAGGCCCATCATCACCAGTGGCAGATCTTGTCATTGCAACATCAGATTTTCAAAGAGATCTCGTAAGCTGGAACATTAGGTAAGTGCTGTTATGCTGTTAGTAGGACACTAACAGTATAGCCCGATTTTGTAGTCAAAGAATGAAACCATTCTACTACCCAAGTATAACCTGTTTTATTTTGTTATCAGTCCAATCAAAGGAGGAGTAGACGCAAAAGAGTTGTTCCATTTGTATATTCTTGTCTGGATCCAGGATAAACGCCTATCTTTGCTGGAGTCGTGCAAATTAGATAAGGTACTGATTTTTAACAGGTTGCAATTTTTTCTTATTCCATTTTGTGTCTTCAGGATTCACCATATCCCCTTAGTGGATCTAGGTTTCGAAGAACCTTTGCTAATCATGTAGAATGTCTTTTACTCTGTCTCTTCAGTAGTAAGTTGTCTTGTGACAACAGGGTTGTCTAAATCCTTTGCCTTTGCAGGTGAAATGGTCAGGAGTTAGAACCCAACATTCAACTACACCCTTTCTTGATGACATGTATGAGCGTCTGAAGGAGACATTGACAGACTATGAGGTCATCATTTGCCGCTGGCCAGAATATACCTTGGTTTTAGAGAATGTATGTCAGATCTTGTTATTGCTTTCCTTGTCTTGCATCTTTCTTTTCCTGTTTTTCCCATGAATTTTAGATGCTATCCATTCCATTTTCATGCTTCATTTCTACTGTAAATAGATACCTATCCTAAGAATTTTTTTTAATTACTGCTTTTATTAAGATGGGAATTTTATTTCTTGATCCTCAATATGTTATATTAGATCAACCAAAGAATGAAGAATATGACTTTGATTGGCTTTTTTCGGAAAAAAATATTGGTAACAGGCTGTTGCTGATATTGAAAAGGCCATTGTGGAAGCTTTAGACAAACAATATGCAGATGTATTGTCTCCTCTCAAAGAAAGCATGGCTCCTAAGAAATTTGGTCTTAAATATGTCCAAAAACTTGCCAAACGATCTCCATGTGCATATGTGGTTCCTGATGAGGTGAGTTGAGTTCCTGAAAAACTCAAACGTTTCTTCTGGACATACACTCTTCTTTTAAACTCTTATTACTTTTTTCAGCTTGGAATTCTTTTGAATTCTTTGAGGAGAATGCTTGACAACTTGCGTCCCAGGATTGAATCCCAGTTCAAGTCATGGTGTTCTTGCTTGCCTAATGTTGGAAACACATTGCCTGGTGAGCGACTTAGTGAAGTGACAGTGATGCTAAGAGCAAAGTTCAGGAACTACGTGCAAGCTATTGTGGAGAAACTTGCAGAGAATGTTAGTAGCCTTTTGAAAGCAAATTTGTTGTTCGTAATTAACATAAATTTGATATCCTTAGTAACTCATAATTGGAGCTATCTGTTACGAACACCCAACGCATTTGGTCTATATGATTGTAGAGTGTAGACATACTGAATTTCATTTATGAGAGAAAATGAAAGCTTTGGGAGTCTGATAAGACTTAACGTAGGCAGAGCAGTACACTCCAGTTAGGATATTCATCCACATATCAATATGTTTCAAGTATTCTGAAACTCAATATTACAGTTTTTATAACAGAGTATACCAGCCAGATATTGCACATGATCACAAATTTCAACACCAGGATAGTACTTGTGTCCATATTTAAATTGAAAATGTGATAACATAGGTTGCCTGTGAAATTACTGTTCTCTCTGTATTTTGTAGGCAAGATGTCTTTAATTTGTTTTGCTCCTTCTGCAATAATATTAATAAACTATTCAAGTATATCACGTCCCTGATATGCATCTTTTATGTTGTTCCAGACTAAGTTACAGAATACTACAAAATTAAAAAAGATTCTTCAAGATTCAAAGGAAACTGTGGTGGAGTCTGATTTAAGAAGTAGAATGCAGCCATTGAAAGAGCAGTTGGCTAGTACCATAAGTCACATTCACAGTGTCTTTGAGACTCATGTTTTCATTGCCATTTGTCGAGGTTATTGGGATCGTATGGGACAGGTCAGTTCACTTTCATCTGGATTTTCTTTTTGCCTTGCCTTCATCATTAGATTTACTTAAAGCTTGTTTGGTCCAACTTAGGTTGAAGAAACAATTGCTTATTTTTGTCAGCTTCTTGATAGAGCTTTTTGAAAATAACACTTGCTTATAAATTTAAGCAGTTCCAAATGTGCTAATAATTTTTATGGAAAAAATGTTTTTTGTTCACCAAAACTTACGACTTTTTGTTTATAAGCTATTTTCTATTCAAAATGCACTAAATTCATACACAATTTAGATTGTGTATTAAATACAAAATGCGCTAAATTCATGCTAGGATATTAATGGTATATTATGTGTTGTATTTTTTATTTAGCAGGAAATCTTAAGTTTCTTGGAGAACAGAAAAGAGAATAGATCGTGGTACAAGGGTTCAAGGGTGGCTGTTACTGTAAGTAACAATCTATCAGCTTAGTTATTAACAATGTTTTATTTTTTCACAAAAATGAGGGAGAATGACAGATATTCTTTATATACTGCTTGTTTTGTTATGAAAACAAAAACAGCGTGTTTTTGTGCACGAGTTTCTTTAGGTGCCAAAGAACATTGTTCCAGATTGACTACAGTAAACTTAATGTTGATTTTCTAACTATATGTCAATTACTTTCTATTGTTTGGTTATTCATGAAAACAAAAATGCATCAATTTCTGTCCACGATTTTTTTTCCGGCTTTAGAACATTGCTATAGATTGATTACACTATAGTGGATGTGCATCCCTTTCCTTTTTGTATGTGCTGTATTTTGGCTTGTGATTTCTGATCTGAAGTCATCTGTGCAGATTCTGGATGATACCTTCGCGTCACAGATGCAACAGCTTTTAGGAAATGCATTGCAAGAGAAAGATCTGGAGCCACCTAGATCCATCATGGAAGTTCGATCCATGCTCTGCAAGGATGCTCCCAATCACAAGGACAACACTTTTTACTATTAGGCCAAATACTACATGTAAATATGATGAGAAGAATACACGGGGGTAAAAGGAGAACATGGAAATGGGTCACCAATTTTGTAGTAGGAGCAAGCAACTCAACTGCTCCCTGAAAGATTAATGTGCTCTTCAAGTGGAATAGTAAATTTTCAACACATGGTATATATATATATATATATACAGCAAATTATTCATTGCATACTTAGTACTAGTAATATAAAATTTACTAGCGTTTTGCACTCTATCAAACCTTGGCCTTTTGATTAACTAGTGGTGTCTCTAACAGAATTACTATTTTGTTTAACTAATTCATCGTTTTGGTGTCTGTCAAAATACCCCATATCACAAAGGTGATGATCAGTTACAAAGAGGTTTATTTAGGATCAAAATATCTTGATCCAATAAAAAAATTCCAAGTTAATTTGACGTCCGTGAAGTGATGTAGTGTGTTTTGCTTTGATTCGTTATAATTGAATGAAATCCTGCATTTACCTATCGTGGGTCTGCCTCCTAGTCTGATGCAGGATTTGATTCCAATTTCTTACACCAAAAAATTTACTAGTTAGGTTTACACTTGTAATTTAATTGTCTAAGTGCCGACTAGAATGTATAAAGTAGATACATATACTTTGTACATTTCCGTGTCTATAACGCTGTAGTCAATTGGGCTAAACGTAGAAACATTAGTTTACGGGTAGCATTTCCTTGAAGTGATTTATTATAGGTATAGACTATAGATATGGTTTCGTGCGCTTGCATGGAAGAAAAACACAAACTTATAAAAACAAACGGAATTTTTTCATGCTAGAGCGACACTATGTTCCAAGTCACTAAGTTCAAACTTTACGAGCCATCTAACATTTTTATTTCTTCCACTTTTTTCTCTCGTTATTCTTTTAGAATCCAGCATTCACAGCTACATAATAATATTCACAGGATTACATCTAGTAGAGCGTACCTATAGTGTGGACTAAAGAAAAGTCCATATGTGGTTTTCTATTTTTTCTGTCGACTGGATGTGGTTATTTTAGAAAAGGAAATCAGATGACAGAGCGCCATATGGCAGATTGTGTTGAGATTGTTGGTAAAAAGGAAGAAGGTCATGTTTTAGCCAGAGTTGTGAATAAGAATTTGAATTGCACTCGGAACATTTGAATAAAGATATTTACATGATCAAACTACATTAAGATCAATTGATCTGTGGTGCAAACAAAATGAATTTTACATCAAACGGGGAGTGAGGAAAACCAAGCTGAATTGCAGCAAAAGCAAAAGCACAACAGTCAAATTACTACATCGCAGCTTTTCTCCAAGCTGCCTTGCCAAATCAGAGTAGCTTCGATATAACTTGACAAGAAGTCCAGAATGCTTTAGTAGCAGCCCTTACGATAACAGGATTTTGATATATCCTGTCAAGAATAAAAGACGAAAGTAATCAACAAAAATGAAACTATGAGCTGAAAAAGGGTAAAAACAAACCCAATAATTTTTCTATTATTATACTAAATATAAAATTATAAAAACAAATTGACAAGAGTTTAACTCATGTCAGTATCCACCATAAGGCATTATTAAATTTATACTAACAGGAAGTAGCCAAGAGCATAGTCTAAAAGGCAACATGATTATGCACTTTACAAGGTCTTGCATCAAGTGGATTATAAATTAATCAATTCCTTAGTAGTTAACATAAGAGAGAAGAGGAGGGATGTTTAGTAAAGCCACTTACCCAATGGCTGTAGCCCCCCATGATGCAACATTATAAATAACTCTGCTTCCATCCCATGCCTTTTGAAGCTTTCCTTTTTTCTTTTTCACAGAAAATGTCTTGCTGAGAGCTAATAATACATAGCAAAAAAATTAGAAATCCTTACCTATTCTTTTTATCATGGCAATTTCTAAAGTACAAAAATTTATCTGGAATGAAAAAGGTAGCAAGGGAGTTGATTCTTTCCCATGTTTTACTCAGACATTTGGGATGACCAACACAAATAAGATATCATACTAAAGAGGAAGCAACTGGACTCACCATCCTGGAGTTGATTTGGGGTCAAATCCTGCAAAAAGTAAGGAACTCGATTAGTGCCAGAGAGTAGAAACTGCAGACATTAAATACAATATGTTTAATGTTACTGATCTTTACTTATAATCCTAAAATCAGTTCACTTGCAAAGAAGAGAAAGAAATGTTTTTTTTTTTATTAATAAAACAGAAACAAAGAAAGGATATACAAATGCAAGAGGATGGTATGTACTCAAAATTAATCCAAGAAAAAGGAAAAAGACAAAATCGAATAATATGAAACATGTAACATTGCACGCTGAAGATCTACTGAAGACAGTCCTCTTAAAAGGTGTTTTGTAGACCACCAAAAAGAATCTAGATGAACTACCCTGTCGCAAATGAAGTATGAAGGTAACAATCAACAAGTAAAATTTCTAGCATTTCTTTCCAACCATATAAACCAAAGAAATGCAAATTGCAAACAATGTCAAATCATTTTAGAATCAATATTGGTGCCAAAACCTCTAAAATTAACACAAACTTCTGGAGATTCTCATGGAAGACCTAATCTTCACCACCAACAAACAAATTATTCAATAGGTGTGAGTATGATTGTTAGGCTACAGAAGCATGAAAAGAGCTTTTACGTTTAAACTAGAAAGCAAAGCACCTAAAGAGAACACCACAATGCAAAAGACATATATATTAATATTACATGATTGTCTCTACTTCAATGGGATAACTTTACGAGCATAGTTGTAGCAAGAATGTCCATATCCCCCCAAAAATGACCAGAAACTGTACCATCAAAGCCATATATGAATTGAAAACAAGTATGCACCCTCTCCCTCCTCCTCCCATTGTTATTTGGTGGTAGTTGTTGATGTAATATTCATTTTTCAACTTTCCTCTGATATTCAAACACTAACAGATTCAAAGTGAACATCTTTGAAGATAAAGTAAGTATTATAAACTTAAACTTCATGATTATAAAATCACCAAATAGTACTTTTGCCTAAATAGCATGGTGGTAAGAAAATAGTGGAGAATCTCAGAAAATGAGAGAAAAGGTAAGAAAATTGAGAAAAAGAGAAAATGAGATGTGAAACTGCAATTGTATTTTTCAATGTGAAAACTCAGTACAATTACATTATATATATCTATAGTTAAAGCTACATGGACTTAAATAATACTATAGTAGCAGAACCCATAACTGGGCAGTCTTGACTAAAAGCCCTTGACAGTAAATATGTCAGGTTCACGATAAGACTGGCAACTTCAATAATAAGACAACTTTACAAATTGCTGGGGAAGAACAATTCACCACAAACTTTCAGGAAGCTTGGTGTCCAGCCTCTGGAATAACAAGAGAAATACATATAGCATACCTTGGTTTGCTTAAGGGATAACAAATATGCAGCCATGAAGCAAGCAATTCCCTCCACTATATCTTCTTGTCTAACAAGGACATAATCTTCTTGCTCTAAGTCCGCTTCGTCACCTTCCCAAAGATCATTTTCACTAACAAAATCCCAAGAATTACCCTCTTCTGTCATAACACCAAGCATTTTTCACGTGTAAGAATTCTAAAAGTCAACCCAACAACAAAGAGAACATTCCAATGATGATAAAGCACCAATTTAAGAAATGAACACGTTCAAACCACTGCATACCAGCCATGTCCTGCATAACCGACGCCTGCGCATACTCCAACTTTTCAAGGAAATCAGGGCATTCAACTCTAGACTTGAGCAGGTCACACAACTGCATCAGGGCACAAAGAATAATGAAGCAAAATGGTTCTTACCAAATCATGCACAGACGATACACATTACGCCACAAAATGACAGCATCGACCATTTACATCACTAGCAATTATTGCAACTCGAAGAATCACAAGTTTGACATAAACACACTAGTGTCTAAACACACATAAGAAGACACCCCGGCTATAAATGCTAGTTTGGATTAGCAAATTAAAACAGCTTAAAGTCAAAAGCTTCCTGAATTCATAGTAATCGTTTATCAAACACGCCCTAAAACGAATAAAAGCTTTAATTCTCTTCCCTTTTTTCAGCACACAAATCAGAGATGAACTAGCAAGCTTCATTGACGATGCTAAAAAATAAGACACAATATTGAAAAAGCTTAACCTAAGCAGAAAATTGATAAAAACGAATAAAAAAATGAATGGAAAAAGTGTAAGGGGATAAAACCTGGTCAGTTTCAGGATCGGGTGGCGTAGAAGGGGAATCGGAATCGTCTTCTTCATCGGAAGCATTGATGAGTTCAAGGGCTCTCTGACACTGTTCAAGCACGGCCTGAAGGGTCTTCCTCTTCACTCGAACCGGGTTCGGATCGGAGACCCCAACCTCCATTGAGGTTCGGAGGAGTTGATTTGGGGAGGTTCGGGAACCCTAGAGACGGGAAAGGAAGAGAAGAAGAGACGTTGGGTTTTCTCTTTTTCTTTTGGGGAAGAGAGAAGAGAATTATTGGTGTGGGCGTGTAAACGGCAACACGTGCCCTTTATGTTTTCTTAATTTTAATTATGAATTTTTAAGGAATAAGGACAAGGTTGTGGTTGCAGGGTGCTGCGATGTGCTGTGCGATGTGCGCTGTGCCGGGAAAAGAGAAAAGAAATTGCAAAATGTTTCCAAAAGGTTTCGTGTATTGGGATTCTTTCCCCGCTGGCGGCTACGTTAACCACCTCTATTCCATTAGGTTTTAGCCCATCCATATGCAGGCTAACAGCCGGCCAGAACAAACGTGATTCCTCAGGGCTCAGGCTCATTTTAAATTTTTTAAATAAAAATAATTATTTATTAATTAAATATTAATTTTATTAATATAAAAATACCTTTTGTTAATTTTCGTTATTTTATTTTATTTTTATATTAATTTTAAGTATGTTGAACCCATTAATTAATTAATTCATAATTTTTTTTATTTTTTATCTTTAGCTAACCAGTACATTAGTCTTTTAAATAATCGAATTAGAAAATTTAGTTAGTTGAATAGAATATCTCAATTTTAATAAGGAACGGAATATCTTAATTTTAGTGAGGTAGGGCAAGTTTATTAGTTTTGACACTCTTAAGTCCAATGAAAATTTTAAATAAGGTTACAAAAATTAAGAATTATTGAAAATTTATTTTCTTATTTTTTAGTTTTGTTATCTAAATAGTAATTACTTAGAGTTTATTTATATATGAAATTTTGTATTATTTTTATTTTATTTTTAATAATAAGCTTAATGATGTTATTAGTTCATGTAAATAATAAATATTTTGTAATAATAATTTTTTATAAAAATTTTTATTAGGATTTAGTTTTTGAAAAGTTAAGAAGTTAGAATTTAGTATTTGCTGTCAATTATCTTTTATTAAGTGTTGAGTTGATTGATGGAAAGTGAGCTCAGCATTCTCATATGTCATACTATGTTATTTTTTTATTTTTTATTTCAAATTAATATTTAAAAGTAAGTTTTTAAATACATTTTTAATATTTAAAAAAAAAGTCTTTTCTCTTTTTCCTTCCTCCTTCCTTTCTTTTATGTTGCACATCTTTCTCCACCTCTCCCTTTTACCTCACCCCTTCCAATCTCCTTTACACCATCTCAACTCCATGCATTATAGCCTTGTCCAATATTAGTTGGAGTACTTATCTTTCACCATTAATAAAGGTGAAGTCCCATGCGAGTTTGATAACTCCATCGACATTATCAAAACTTGTAATGAATTGGTCTTTTTGAGGGTTATGGTCCTATTTGACAAGAATGTTGCATATGATGAAGTTTATGTTTAATTTTAAAACTTCGTTACAAGGATAACATTGCAAATATCTCCACCCTTAAAAAGTCAAATATTATGCTTTAGTTAGTCATGTATGTCATTGGGCTTTGGCCATGACAATTCAAGTAACACTTACAAGGTATTGGTATTGGTTATGGAGTGGAGAACAAGTTAGGACGGGATGAGTGTGGTGTTGGAAGGAAAGGAGTGAAAAACAAAGTGAGAGAAGAGAAGGAGAGAGACTCATTTGTAATTATATAAAATATATTTAAAGACTAATTTGTAAATATTTTTAAATAAAATAAATGGTGTAACATGTGACGTAGTATCACGTGAGAATGTAAACTAGTTCTCAGTCAATTTAATACTTAACTGAAGAGAAATGCAATAGTGACTAAATTTTAATTTCTTAACTTTTTAGAGACTAAATTTTAATAAAAAAATTTATAAAAATTTATCACAAAATGTTCAATATTTTTTAAATATTTTTTTATTTGCACCATTATTTTAATTTTTTTAATTTAATTTTTAGAAATTTGTTTAAAATCAGAGGTCATAAATTCATGACCCACCCAAATATAAAAAATCAGAAATTAAATTTTGATTCTAAATGGTATACTTTGATTCCCTGATGTTTGTCTCTCTTAGTTTTAGTCCCTCAAGTTGTCTTATATTCTTTTCTTAAATTTCCTCACTCCAATTTTAATTCTGAGCTCTATATCTATATCCTTCTTCTTTGAACAATATTTTAGCTTCACACTCCTTTTCAAGAATATTACCGATGTAAATAGTTAACAACACTACCGCTAAGTTCATCCTCCTACTAGAGAAGCGCTCGTCTACTCCGTCGAATAAATAGGTCATGTTTTGTCTATTATGTTCAAAAGAAGATTTTGTTGGAACTCATTATTTCACCTGAGTTTTTGAAATATTTCTTTCAATTTTCTTATCTTATTAAACTAAAACTTTAGCTAACTCAACTCACATGTTTAACTTAGTATCCATCTTAATTGAGATTAGCTCAACTCAACAACGACTTCAAAAGATAACAACCCACTTTACTAATAAAATCAAAATGTTTTAGATTTGGATTTTTAGGGCCAAACTCAACCAAAAATATTACTCCTCGCCCTTATAATACCTTTTAAAAATTAAATTTTAAAAATGATTTGTAAATAAATTTTAGAATTTTATTTTTAAAAGTGATTTTATACTTTTCAAAAATTAATTTTTTAAAATAATTTGTAAAAATTAAATTGCAAAATTAATTTTATACCTTTATTGAACTTCAAAAGTTATTTGTAAATTGATTTCAAATTTTAGTTTTTAAAAATAAATTTATACATAAAAATTATTCACAAACCACTTTCAAAATTTAATTTTTAAAAAATATTAAATATATTATTTAAAACTAAATAATTCATTAGTACTTCCATATTTTGAAAGTCCTTAAATTAGTTTATTAAATTAAGACTATTTAGCATAATTTATTATTAAAGTAATTGATGAGGTAAAATGATACAAAACATGTTTATACAACAATTTTATATAAATTAGATTATTTTATAGAGAAGTATTTGTTAAGAAATTATAGTTTAGCTTTTTTTAACTTTTTCTTATATCATCTTTGTTTCAAGATCAAATATTTTAATAAAATTAAAATAAATAGTGCAATAAGTAAAAATTTAAATTAATAAATTAGTTTCTTTGACTTTTATTTTTGCTTTTGTTATGTTTTCTAATATTTTAAATCATTTTATTTCTTTAATTTATCGAAGTGTTTTAAATAAGTCTTTTTTTAAAGTTAATTTTATTAAAAAGTCATTATTTATCTTTTTCCTCTTGCATATTTAAGCAAAAACATAGTATATTTTGGTAAAATTTTTAGTTTTCTCTCTCTTTCTTTTCTTAAAAATTAATCACCCTTATGATCTCATATTCCAGTGCTACTTTGAGGCATAACAAATACATCACTACACACATAATATAAGTTTTGAGCATCTTGAGAAGTGTAAAAAAGGAGACATAAATTTTCTCTAAGGAATTAAGGATGGGAAAATCTGGTGATAGGTGGTCCAATACTCCTTTTATATTAATGAACATTCTTTGAAACCTTTAAATGCCTGATATAACTGATGTACTCAAGACCTAACTAAAAAAACTTAAAAAAAAGAAGAAATTTTTGAAATTCAAAAGGGAGAAGGGCTATAAATGAAGGATAAGAAAAGAAAGAGAAAAAAAAACATTTTTATTGGAGTTTAAAAGAGGAGAAAAATGTGTCATAGAGGCGTAAATGAGAAATAAAATAAAAAAAGTTTATCAAATATAATAATATATTAAACTTTCATGATAGTTCATTAGGAGAAAGAAGACGAACAATAATTTTTTAACATAATTAATGCTTTTTATGAAATAAGATTTATTTAAAACAATAAGTTAATGGGATCAAAATCAGGAAAAAAAATATATGAGTAAACTGAAATAAAACTAAGAGTTAAGGATTAATCTAATAATTTAGTCTAATTAAAATAAATAATATAATTAATACTACTTTACATTTGATTTATAATAAAAACAAATACCTAATTTATCAAAATTAATAATAAAATTAATTTATACATCATAAATTTATACTATATTTTGAAAGTATTTATATTATTAAACTATCAATTGATTATAACTTGTATATGAAATATATGTTAACACAAATATCATAACAAACATTGGAATAATTTTTTTTAACAAATTAATATACATGAGAGTAAATTTTTATTTCTTATGATTAGAACAAAATATTATTGACAATTATTTATTATAAATAGAATCAAAAGTAATGAAAAAATTATATTGAAATATTCTATAAGACATTATCTAGAAGGTTTTATTATTTTTTTGGCATTTTATAAGTTTTACAAAATATTTATTAATATTTTTATTTTCACTTTTAATAAATGGAATTGATAAAAACTTCAACTTAAATTACCAAGAGTAAATATTGATGGTGAGGTTAGATTCAAAATGATATTAATTGAGGACAAATTTGACACATTATAAATTTTTTTAAAAGTAAAGAAAGCAAACTAACTTTAAGCTATTTTTATTAATTTATGTAGTTTGGTTAAATATACCTTATAAAAATATTAAATTATGTATAAGAAAAAACTATAGGTTATTAAAATAAGTTTGTTTATCACATACCTCTATCTTGATTAAAAAATTTAATTATTAGTTAACTAATTAAGTTATAAACAAGTTATATAAAGTGATTAAAATGATTAATCAAATACATCCTTTGTATCATTCTTAGGTGTCTCCATTTAAATACAGGATTAAGAATGTATCACATTAATGACAAACAGTACGTATAAATATAAAAGGAGAGCTAATTTTGAAGAAAGCAAATGAGACGTTGAAACTTTTAAACCCTCAACAGCCTTCTATACATGTACCACCTTTCTCAAGGTTAAGGCAAGATATCAAGTGATCTTGTTTTCGGACAAATTAAGTGACTTGGTTCTCACACGGGACATAGAGAAGAAATTGGAGTCCGTAGGAGAAAAATAGACCGTTTCCCTACTTTTAACAAAGCAGGCTTTTTAACGTTATTGACTTATTGGTGTAATTTGTTACAAACTTATGTATTTAATATGTTTTAAATTATTTATATAATTAGTATAAATTGTCGTCTTGAAATATGACTTGTGATTTTTAATAAATTAATAACTCGTATATGTTATATAGACTTTCATATTTAAAAAAATTTTAATGTAAAAATCGTATATGTATATATTAAAGTAGGTAAAAATGAAAAATAAACCCCAATAAGTTGTATTTATATTTTCTATTTTTTTTTAAGTTTTAACTTCATCTATGTTTGACACGTATTGCTTTTCCGCTGCATTAAAATCACTAGCAGTAAAGTCAATCATAAATCGATAAAAAAAATCCTTTTATAACCAATTTTGTATATATTTAAA